AACTAGCATTAGATGGGGAATGGGCCGGTTTTGCTATAGGGCTTGTTGCCATCAACCATGGACACGTGGTCCAGTAACAAACAAAGTAGTGCCTTGAGCATCAGGTGCTGCACTGTTTTGCTTCCCTCAACTGCAAGAAGGCGATCGATTCGGTCGAACTGAGGCTCTGTTAAATGAGTTGCGTATGAATGACACAAATCTTGTTCATATGATCCTCAGAGAGAAAATGAATAGTTGCACGACTGACAACAAGCAATTCAGAAAACCATGTCGCACCAGTATCCATAGAGTATTGCGCAAAGGAAGTACCTTGTCAGAAGCATCTTCACTACGGTCTTGGAGTCACTCTCCAACCGATTAAGAGAGTGCAATAGTACCAGCGTACCCTTTGTAGAATACTGTTCATTTTTGCGCAAGACACCGAAGTGCTAGAACAGAAGATCTTTCAGTGGCAAGAAGAATCTCTCACAATCGGATTGGAGGATGACCTCTTCTAAAGGAATGGAACGAGAGCTGCCACTAGAACTCTGTCTATACAACTGATAAAAAGCGCCGAGACGTTTCCAATGGCGTTTATACCAAGCCTGTCAGCTGGATTGCATGAACTTGCTAGCAGGGGAAATCAGCAGAAGACAGAAGGAGCCCTGGGCTAACTTCAACCTCATTAAAACATGGTTGTTTTACAGTTCAGTTCAACAATCATGCCTTGCCATTACCTACGAAATAAAATCTTGGTCTGTTACTAAAGCTGACTGACTGTCAGAAAGCAATGAAGTGAACTACCTTCAAGGTCTCCCCTCAAAGTCAATTTTAGAGCGGACAAGTTCAACAACGAATTGGGCTGGCAGACATGATCTGTGCCATACGAAATATAAGGAGAAGATTGGCCTGCTTGAGAGCTAAGTGGTGGACTTACAAAAATGGGGATGCGCTAAACGATGTATATACGACTATAACATCGTTTAGCGCATCCCCATTTTTATATACCGGTATGACATACTCGATTTCACTTGTGCGTTCATGCAATGCAGGTAAGTCATGGTAATGCTGTCGCTGTGGTCTCACTGTTTATAGTGAACGCATTTCTCTTGAAACATGAACCGGAGGAGGTCTACGTTCGTAGAATTATGCCATGTATAAATATTGAAATCCTTCCCTCCTCCCATTGTCATAACGATTCTGTACTGTAAGGGCCGCGATGAAAGCAATAAGCACGGAACACATCACGTATGAAAAGCTAGCAGTATGCTAGTAAACCCATAATATCGATTTTTATTTTTCTGTATTTTTCTGAACGTATCACCTCTGTTAGAAATGCACAAATTGTACAGGACTGGTGTAAATTAAGAAACGGTGAGACACTCTCCGGAGTTAATGATCTTGTGCAAGCATGCACAGCTGTATCATGCAATAAAATATATTCTACTTAGCAAGCAAGTAGCAACGCCCCGTTGTAGTTACTAACTCTTGGGATGCCCTCCAATTCCTCTGCTGTGCAATCACGATATTTTTAGTGGAGAAGTTTTCAACGGTGATGTTTTCGAGTGATAAAGAGTTCAGTGACGATGTCTTCTCCAAACTCTCTTTGGCCGGCGATATTTGCCCAGGGAACCGCTCTAAACGGCTTTCCAATGGAACGTGTTAAACTGTGCTTTTGCCATTTAACACGCATTTATTCCTCTCCCTCGACATTGTCCAATTTCAGTTAGATTCAAGGCATTTTTCAAGAAACGTACTGACACGCAAACTTTTGTGTGGAGAACACGTAGCAACAGCTGATTCCTCTTAAAAGCTGGGCTGTTTATTGAATCAACTGTAATAGTTGCCAAAATCTGAATATTAAAATGACGGAATGTGGTGGGGTCGAATCTGATTTGAAAAAATACACGTTGCGTTGCGTTCGAACGTCAACAGGAAGAGCATTCAGCAACTGTGAAATGTGCCATTGAGTGCGTACACAGAATTAGTGGTGATGGAATGAAGATCTGAAATCATGGCAACACCACTGCCGTTCTCTTGATCCGCGAAGCCACACTACTACGACGAAATAAGTTTCAGACACGCCTTGCCTGATTGTAAATGGTTCAGTTTTTACCAATTAAGTTCCACTTCATAATCAATTGCGCAATTTTTGCTTTTCATCTCATCTTTCGATTTATTTCTCCCTTTTTCGTCCAGTCCAAGTTTCATTATCTTGTTTTGTGCTCTTCGTTTCGTATGCCCAGTGTTATTTGTTTTTATGCGTTATTTTGGCTATTGTTTTTTCTTACAATACCTCCTGGTCTTCATATTGACTGCAATATCGTTTTCGTATTATTAGTCTGAACTGAAGAACGAGATTCTCTTCTGGTTCTCAAAGCCAGTGACGTAAAATAAGTTTGGCACGGCTCGGTTGTGAGCCGTTTTTGGCTGATTCGCACTTGTGCTAGCCGCTAATGCCGTTTCGATCTAAGATGCGTTGTGTTTTAGATTTGCGTCCCCCCGCAAGCATCCAGCTGACCGTACACGATTCGGGAAACGCTCACGCTGACGACGCCACCATTTCACGTTGCATCACCTTGTACAGCTACCGTCAGGGTAAGCAGGTGTCTATTTTCGTGTCGAACGTCGATGGTCGTTCTTGACGGTGCCTGTCGCGATGCCCTAGCGGCTAAAACGCACGAATCGCTGAGCTACCGTATGCCGTGTTGCTGGCATGCCGCGGTGTTGACAAACGACGGTATGACGACAGACTGCGGACGCAGTTACGCTTATTCACCACACAGCAAACACTTGAGCGGTATTATCGTACGACGGCGTTGGGCATCAATGGTCGTTCGGTAGCGAGGTTGCACAATGCGGCGATTCAGAGGTGAGTGCCGCTGGGAGCGGCGCCGCGCTGCTACAGTTTATTAACTTACGACGGCCCTCGCCTGACGGTCAGTTGTCCAATTAAAGCCGTCCAGCTTCGTCTAGTGTTCATGAGTGGCAATAAATTCGGACAGGCAGCCGAACAGACGAAATCAAATTAAACGGCTCATGTCAACACAGCGAATAAACACCGTCGCCACTCGACGGTCAAGCGGACAATCACCGCCGCTGCGTTCGGCCAGCGACGGCCGGCTCGCGCCATCCTCCAGCCGAGGCTGGTGTCACCGTTACTCACTCGATGGCGGTTCGAGGCGTAAAAGTCAACACACAACCAGGTATTGTCAGACGACGAGGGAGCCCAGCGACAAAACGTCATACAGCAACGGCGTTCGTTCGCTGCGTAGA